TCTCAAAACTTATAAACGGGTTGCGCGAGAAGTCTATTGGAAGGGGATAAAAAAAGATGTCAAAGAATTTGTAGCTCGATGTAAGGTATGCCAGTGGAACAAGTACTTATCATTATCTCCCCAAGGGCTGCTACAACCACTGCCGATCCTGGAACGAGTATGGGCTGATGTTTCGTTGGATTTTATTGAAGGGTTACCTAGATCGGAGGGTTGGGACACTATTCTTGTAGTGGTGGACCGTCTCAGTAAATACAGTCACTTCATTGGACTAAAGCATCCATTCACAGCCCCCATGGCGGCTAAGGTGTTCATTCGAGAAATTGTCAGGTTGCATGGCATTCCTCAATCACTGTGTCCGATCGAGATCGAATTTTCATGAGTAAATTCTGGGAGGAACTTTTTCGGGCTCAGGGGACTGTTCTTAAAAGAAGCACGGCGTATCACCCCCAAACAGATGACCAAACTGAAGTTGTCAACCGGTGTTTAGAAACATACTTACGTTGTTTTGCCTCCAGTAAACCCCGATCTTGGGGACAGTGGTTAGCATGGGCTGAATTTTGGTATAACACGTCGTTTCACACAGCTACAAAGCACACTCCTTTCCAGATTGTATATGGTTGCGACCCTCCATCGGTTCTGCCATTTGAAAGGGGGATGAATTTAGTATCATCAGTTGAGCAATCACTAATCAGTCGGGATGAAATGCCCCAACATCTTAAAATGCTTTTGCAACGAGCCCAACTAAGGATGAAACAACAGGCAGATGGGCATCGTCGCGACGCACAATTGGAGGTAGGGGACTTGGTATATCTGAAGCTAGTTCCTTACCGACAAACATCAGTCACTCGTCGATCATCAGCAAAGCTCCCCCCTAGTTATTACAGCCTATTTGCGGTCGAAGCCAGAATTGGACAAGTAGCATACAGATTGAAACTCCCTCTAGAATCTACCATTCATCCAGTTTTTCATATATCGCAACTCCGTAAAGCAATAGGGAACATTCAAGCAGCTCCTAGCATTCCAGAATATTTTGCTAAGGAAAATCAGTACATGGTGCAACCTGAGGCCGTTTTGCAGATCCGTAGCAACCCAGACTCAATTCTTGAAGTGTTGGTCAAATGGAAGGACGCCCCGAACTATGAAGCTACATGGGAATTTGCTGAAGGAATACGCCAGCAATTTCCGGACTTCCACCTTGAGGACAAGGTGGATTTTGGAGGGGGGAGAAATGATAAGCCCCTGGTGATCTTTACATATGAACGAAAGAATAGAAAACCACCCAGTCAGGTGCCAAATAGGGGAACATTCCAGTTAGATGCCATGTCAGCTAAGTAATATCCATTAATTCTTATGCATGCCGTTTGTTATTTTTGTTAGTAGTTGGGGAAGGATAGTCAGTCAGTTAGAATATTGCCAATAAATGTAATGGGGGGAAAGGGTAGTGATCTCATGGAAAATTCACGTGTCTAGTAGGAGAGTAGGGCCTCTCGAATGCTCTTGGCTGTTTGGGTTATTATTCAGTTCAATAAAAGTTCCATTCAATTTCAGAGTTATTTCTTCTTTTGCATTACAATCTGTGAATTTCAGTTCAGGATTCTATCATAGTAGTCATTGTTTCCAATCTTGCAACTGGAGCAAATGTTTCACAATAGTCAACTCCAAATTTTTGTGAATATCCCTTTACTACAAGCCTTGCCTTGTGCTTATAAATTGAGCCATCCAAATTTAATTTTGTTCTGTAAACCCATTTGACTCCAATGACTTGTTTATGAGTTGGTTTATCAATAAGCTCCCATGTTTGATTTTTTTTCAATCATTGTTATTTCATCTTGCATAGCAACTCTCCATTCTTGACTTTCAGTTGCTTCTTTATAGCATGTGGGCTCAATCATAGCCATTCTACAATTTTCATAAATCTCAGCCAATGATTTAGTTTTTTGAACTGGTGATTCGAAAGTAGTAGAAGAATCATCAGATTCTCTATCTGAAATTTCAGGAATGGTTTCTTCATTTTCTGCAGCAACTATATCTTGAGCCTCAATAGTAGATTGCTTTTCAACCTTTGTCTCTTCCCAATTTCAACAAGCATTTTCAGCAACCCTCACATCTCTACTTACAACTATTTCTTCCTTTTCAAGGTTAAAGATTCTATAACCTTTTGATTTAGAGCTATACCCCAAAAAATTCCTTTCTCTGCCTTTTCATGAAGCTTATCTCTTTTCACGTTAGGAATGTGAAAATAACATATTGAACTAAAGATGATGTGACTTGCCGAAGGTTTTGTTCCAATCCACACTTCAATTGGATTTTTATCTTGCATGGCCTTAGTTGGAAGCCTGTCTTGCAAATACACGGCAGTATAGACAGCCTCTGCCCAGAATTTCTTCGGAAGTTTTTTTCTCAAAAATCATACATCTTGCCATTTCCATCATTGTTCTATTTTTCCTTTCTAAAACACCGTTTTGTTCAAGCGTATATGCCACTATTAGTTGCCGTTCTATACCTTCATCTTTACAAAATTTATCAAATTCCCTTGATGTATATTCCATTCCCCGATCTAAACTCAACTTTTTCAACCTGCAACTAGTTTGAGTTTTCTCCAGATTCTTGAATTTTTTGAAAATGGATAAAACTTGAGACTTTCTACTCATGAAAGACACCCATGTCATTCTTGAGTAATCATCAACAAAAAGAATGAAATATTTGTTTCACTCAATGAAGGAGTTCGAATTGGTCCATGAACATCAATGTGGACTAGTTCCAATTTTTCCCCGGCTCTTGCACCACTTGAGGGAAAAGAAAGTCTATGTTGTTTTCCCAATTGGCAACATTCACATACATTTTTATTCAGATTTATGAGAGGTAAATCTCTAACCATTCCCTTTTCATAAGAAAGTTTGAGTGATGACAAGTTTAAGTGCCCAAATCTCTTGTGCCAAATCCAAGTTTCATCAGCATTACTTCTATAAGCATGTGAACTAAGGCAAGAAGACCAATTTAGTGGAAAGCTGTGATTTTTCACTTTAACATTAAATAGCTGTGCTCCCCATGAATCATAAATCTTACAACATTTATTTTTAAACATCAAGCAATAGCCTTTATCCATCATTTGAGCCACACTTAAAAGATTTTGATCCAAATTTGGTACTAACAAGACATTTGAAATAAGCTTAGTACCTTTACCTTCAGCATTGACATATTGTGCATTCCCCATCTTCACTTTAGTCTTGACTGAAGTGTCCAAAGTAGTGAATTGATTAGCATCTAATGTCATATGATTGGTACACCCACTATCAATATACCAATTTGTGCTCATCCTTGGCTGTGATTGTTGTGAAGTCATAAACAATAGTTCTTCTTGCCTGTCAATAAAACGAACAATTTGAACTTGTTTATCTCCTTGGCCTTGTAGAGTTTCTTGATTTTGTTTTATCTTGCAATACCTTTCAATATACCCAAAATTTTTACAGAACCTGCATTGCTTCTTGCCTTTGTGCGAACAATCATTTTCCAAGTGATTTGTTCTATTGCAAATTTTGCAAGGTGGATATTTTCCTCTTCTATCAACTTCTTGTGGTAGCATCAACAACTTTACCTTCGTTATCTTTTCCAGTAGGTTGGTTCCTTAAAGGCTGGTTTCTTGCAGGAAATATATTTACTTTATGCCTCAATTGGAAAGCTTCTTCAAGAGACTCCTCACTTCTTTTACTAGTTCTTTGTTCATATGCATGTAGAGACCCAATAACCTCTGTCACTGTCAACTTGCTGAGATCCTTTGATTCTTCAATAGCTGAAATTTTTTATTCAAACTTTTCAGGTAAACTAATCAAGATTTTTTTCCGTTATTCTTTGATCAGAATTTTTTTCTCCACGAAGCTTCATCTGGTTCACAACCTCTATGAGTTTTGAAGAGTACTGTGCTTCAGTCATCTTCAACATCTCAAATTTTCTCCTCAACATTTGCAGCTTTACTGTCTTAACTCTTTCTGTACCTTGAAACTCCTCCTATAACAAATCCGATGCCTTTTTTGTTGTGGTTGCAGCAACAATTCTTAGAAAAATATTTTCTGATACAACAAGATGGATGAAAGAAAGAGCTTTATAGTTTTTGGTAAAATCTTCCTTTTTTTGTTTGATTTGTGCTATAGTTTGATCTTGTGCCTCATTTGCAGGCTCAAAAACCTCTTCTACTGTTTTCCATAGATCATAAGCCATCAAGAAAGCTTTCATCTTTACTACCTAAAAATCATAACTTTCTCCAGTGAAAATAGGAGGTGCAGGCAAAAGAAACACTTGTTGTAGCCATGATAACTGTTTTCTCAGGCCCTTAAGATCTTAACAGCTCCGATACCATGTGAGTGTTTGAATGGAGGAGCTTTTCTGATGATGAGAAAACTGAGATGTAAAAAAGTAGAGAGTTTTTCTTCTATATCAAAAACGTTTTTTTGATACATAAATACATTCCCTTTGATAAGATTTTAGCCACTCTACCTACTACATAAGACTTCACATTTTTACACCATATATTTTACAAAAAGTACGGACAACCTTGCTTAAATTAAGTTAAGACCATACATTACAATACTCATTGCATCAGTAAAAGTCACTGTCCTGTACACCAAAAAGATCATTTTATCAACAGAACTTGTATCCCAAAACATATCAACTTGAAAGTGGCCTTTTTTTGCTGTAAATTTCCAATCAGAACTCTGTGTACAAATATGCACTGCTCAACAATACTAAAATTTTAGGTAGTAAAGGACTTTGTATTGACATTTCCCGGCTCCACTTCTCGTAACTGATATTGGGGTTTCATACCAAAACCAATGGGCATTAGATGGAGTAGATCCTTTTATACGTAAATTACTCATTGGATTTCTTGTTAACCAATTTCCCAACAAGCTCTTCAGATAACTTTCTGTCGTGTGCCTGGTACATTTTATGTGAAGCGTATCTGCCTTCATAATTCAAAAAGGGGGAAAAATGAAATCTTTAAACAGGGCCTGTGTGTGCAGGGATGTATCCTACAACAACTTTACAGCTTCACGAGTAACTGGCTGCCAGTTCTCCTCATCTGTGTGAGTTTCTGAATAATATTTAAATGAGTTTAATTTGTGATTACTGTTTCTTAAATATTTTTGTTCTTTAACAGGAACTTAGTCGCCAGCCATTCAACTTCAAGCAGCGACACGTGAGTTCCTAGAAAAGTCTATAGGTGTTTAGTCTTGTTCTGTTTAATCATTCTACTGCTCCTTGCTGATACTCTAAAATTATGAACCTTTTATTTCATAGAACTCCATGGTGTTTGAAGAGGGACATCCCTTGCGCCAGTAAACCTGAATGTAAGGATTTTGCTATAATGATAAGACAGTAGGTATCGATTTGAAGTTCGATTGCCGTTGACCCTGATGTCACCATTCCATTATACGTGCAGATTATTCCTTGTTTATAAATTGTGGAGGAAGAAGGATTACCTTTGAAGGAAATGAATATGAAGAGAATTTAAGCAGGGATGGTCCATCACACTTTGAGTCGCATGATGGATGGGCTTATAGCAGCACGGGGGTGTTCGTGGGAAATGAAAATGCTAAATTTGTTGCAACAAATAATTCTTCTCTGACAATGAATGGTGCAGAATTTTATCAAACAGCTCGCCTCGCGCCTTCTTCGCTCAAGTATTTTGGACTTTGCTTGCGCAGAGGTAGCTACAGAGTGCGCCTCCATTTTGCTGAAATAATGTATACAAATGACACCACCTTTAGCAGCCTTGGAAAGCGGCTATTTGACGTGTCAATCCAAGTAGGTCACTTAATTTTCCAGCAGACATCTATCTCTTTCTTGGCCAATTCGTTAACATCTTTTGGATATTTGCTGTCATGAACTTATTTCTCAGGATTTATTAGGCTCCATTTTTCTCTTTTCACTATAGATGGTCAGTGTTCATTCGACTCTTTATGCAGGGTGGGGTTGTTTTGACTGACTTTGACATTGTAAAGGAAGCTAATGGTGTTAGGAAAGGTATTTACAAGGATTTTAATGTCCTCATCAATGGCAGTACTCTGGAGATCCACTTGTACTGGACTGGAAAGGGCACCACTGCCATCCCTGACAGAGGGGTATATGGACCATTGATATCTGCAATAGCTGTGACACCAAGTTAGTATACTGTGATTTTGAGTGGTTCGCTATCCTTTCTCACCGCCTCATAACGAGACATTTCTTTCCCTGCAGACTTTCATATTGATACCGGGGGGCTATCTGCTGGAGCTATCTCTGGGATTGTAGTTTCTTCATGTGTGTTCGGATTTTGCATTTTAGCTGCGCTTTGGATGAAAGGTTATCTTGGAGGAAAAGATGTTGAAGCTAATGGTGAGGAACACCCCCCCCCCCCCCCCGGGGGAAAATATATATATATATAATAAATAAATTATGCATTTCCTTTTTTTTTTTTTTTTTTTTTTTTTTTGGGTACAGTTCGATGAGCTATTAACATAATTATCACCCATAGATTACTAATAGATTGAGTTTTTGTGCAAAGTTAAGATTATTCTTCTCTTCTGCCTCTCTCTGGTTGTGCATCAATGCTGTTGTTTCAGTGTTCGTATTGTATGAACTTATGTCAATGAACAATTTATGTTATCTTCTCGTGACAGAACTTCGAGCCCTTGATCTACCGACTGGTCACTTTACACTAAGACAAATCAAAGCTGCTACAAATAACTTTGACCGTGCTAACAAGATTGGAGAAGGAGGATTTGGGCCTGTGTACAAAGTACTTACTAAAATTTCCCTCCTTTCAGTTGTTGATTAAGAATATGTTCTATTTATTCCCTGAACGTGTGCAAAAAGAGGAAGGATGAAGGCGAGAAGTATTTTTCCATTTTATATGTATCTGATAATTAATCTCCCTTACCATATTAGAATCTAATGATTAATATGCCATGTATATAATCTGATATTGATCTCGTTTCTTTAGGGTGTACTGTCGGATGGTACAATTATTGCTGTGAAGCAACTTTCCTCCAAGTCGAAGCAAGGAAACCGCGAATTTGTTAATGAAATAGGCATGATATCTGCTCTACAACATCCTAACCTTGTCAGGCTCTTTGGCTGTTGTATAGAATCAAATCAGCTGCTGCTTATATACGAATACCTGGAAAATAATTCTCTTGCTCGAGCACTTTTTGGTAAATACTTTGCCAGCGTATCTACCTGTCATAAAATCAACTTCGATTTTTTATGTCATTCAATTTCCGTGTTCTTTCATTTAGGTCGTGAGGAACAACTGTTGAACCTCAACTGGTCAACAAGAAAGAAAGTATGCTTAGGAATAGCTAAAGGTCTGGCATATCTTCATGAGGAATCTCGGTTGAAAATCGTCCATAGAGATATAAAAGCTACAAATGTGCTTCTCGACAGGGATTTAAATGCTAAGATATCAGACTTTGGTTTGGCTAAGCTTGATGAGGAAGAAAACACCCATATCAGTACGCGAATTGCTGGAACAGTGTGAGCCTTTTCCTCCCCTTATTCTTCTTCTTATACAAAATTCTGTTATGATGATGGCAACTGTGTTGTGCTATATTTGTATGTAATCTTTTATTCGGTTCACTAAGTAATATCAAATGTTTTACATTTCAATGTATTTATACTTTCAGAGGTTATATGGCTCCTGAGTACGCAACGAGGGGTTATTTGACAGACAAAGCAGACGTCTACAGCTTTGGAATAGTTGCTATCGAAATTGTCAGTGGAAAAAGCAACACTAATTACAGACCGAAAGAGGAGTTTGTCTACCTTCTTGATTGGGTAAATTATTTTTCTCATGCTTTCCGCAGATTTAGGTTTAGTCTGTTTGTTATTCATTTCACCATTTTGTGGATTCTAATCCTTTTCTCTTCTCTTACATTTGCCGAATGTGAAGGCTTATGTCCTACAAGAGCAAGGGAATCTTTTAGACCTCGTGGATCCTACTCTCGGTTCAAAATACTCCGAGGAAGAGGCAATGAGGATGTTAAATTTGGCACTGTTGTGCACAAATCCGTCTCCTACACTTAGACCGTCCATGTCTTCTGTGGTGAGCATGCTTGAAGGCAAAATCCCAGTCCAAGCACCAAAAATCATGCGCCGTACCCCAAGCGAGGGTATTAGATTCAAAGCCTTCGAGAAACTCTCACAAGAGAGCCAAACACATGTTTCGACATACTCTCAGGATAGCAAGGAGCAAAAGAGTGATTCAGTTGATATGCCATGGATTGATTCTTCGATCACCTCTTCAAGTAGGGATGAAACGCGGAATCAAACTCATGGATCATTCTTCAGCAAGTAGGCTTCTTCCTGCTTTTTATGATGTAAAATTAGATTGATTGATGAAGCATATCTGATACTCGTGAAAATGTTTTGTTGTAATTTCCAATCTGTAAGTTGAAGAAAAAACTTTAGATTCAATGATCTAAATAAATATTATTTTGTCACCGTTTTTAGTTATAAGTGTTGACGGCCCAATTTCTTTCCCCTTTTCTTTTTTTTTTTTCTTTTTTTGGTAAGTATTCCAACATTTTGTTACTTTGGTGGATGAAACGGGTCTGCTGATGGTCATCAGGTACATGTTCAATCAAGATTCAGCATAAACATTATTAGTCACTCAACTCAAGAGTAAGCAATGGGTTAGAAGGAAGATTGAATTGTGGTGCAAACTGAGGGACTGAATAAGACATTTAAGCCGCATTTCCTCTTTTTCGGCTTGCGAACGCTGCGGTACAGCAGGGATTGGCTCAGTCTTTTCCCGACGAAATCGATAACTAGTGCAAAAATGGGGTTTGCATTTCTATTAGATGCATGATTATTCCGAATTCAATCGTCTTGGGATAGTCTTACTCTTGGCTTCCTCAAGGTTAATTTGGAAAATAATCTGATTACTTCATGCAAGCTCCGCTTGGCTCGTGGATATAGGTATATAGCTCAGTAATGATCTTCTCTTGCAATTGGGCTGTTAAATTCTGGGTTGGAAGTCTGATTATCCAGACCGTAATGATAGTATTTTGTTCGTGTCGCACTTTTTTAAGTAATGGACTAGAAGACTAAAAATATACTAGCGAAAGACTATTAAAACGGGCACTCGAGAATGTAGATAGGGACATTTTTTGGTATGAAAAGTCTTCCTCCGATGTTCCGTATAAAAACTAATGAATATGGTACATTCATACAAATCCATCCCAATAGGGATTAGAAATGTGGTCAATATCGTAAAGAATAAAGAGATACCGTCTATACCAAATGAAAAATTAATTTCGGTGTTACTAAATTGCTTTCAAAAAAATATGCATGTTCAGTATATCAGATCCACCAGTTGAAAAAAAAAAAAAAAAAAAAAAAAAAAAAAAAAAAAAAAAATTTTTTTTCCACTAAAAAAAAAAAAAAAAAAAAAAAAAAAAAAAAGAGAGAATATTATTTATTGCACTGAAAAACAAGTAATGAATCCACCGGTTCAATTTTGCTTGAATTTTAAACAGGTTTGATTTGATTACAATTCTAGTACCTAGAACAAAGAATCATTCTCGGCTCTTACCTTTATTTGTAATTTGATAAATTATTTTTATTTGTTAATATTTTGTATGGAAATGGAACTTGTCGCTTGCATTTAATGAAGTTTATTGTTTTGATTTTAGACGTGAGTACTATCTTTTGGCTTAAAATTAAGTACTGTAATTTTCATTAATAATTTTAAAATTTTCATGATGGAACCAAACTAAACCAAATCGAAATGATTCGGTTCGCTCAGTTATAGTCAGATTTTACGTATAGAATCAATTTCATTATAAGATAATCATTGGTTCTCAAAAACGAACCGAATCGAACCGTACATAACCACGCTACCCCTAATAAGACCTTTAATGGAAACGGAACTGGTCGTAAGAGGAAATGTTAAAGTCTACATTTAATAAGTAAATACGGCTTGTCTCTAACAACTTAAATACGTAGACAAGATAGTTTTACCAATCTGAACCTACCATTTTTAGCATCCCAATAAGATGAAGGTAGTAACAATTCATAATTTTCATCCCTCCTCTAAAATGGACTGCTTGCCATTAAACCTAATTTTCACATGAGTCCCTTTTTTTCATTCTTCTTTCTATTTAAATCATAAGTAGTTCTTGAACTGAACGTTTGGAATATCATCAGTGGAAGACTCAATTTTTCCCAGAAATATTGATGACAAAGATGAAAAGAATAAAGGGTTGTTCAACAATTCCTTTGATTTTCTTGGATTCAAATGCAAAGATGAAAATTTTATTGTCAACTTGATGAAGTATTCTGTACTTCTGGGAGCTGAGAAGCTGTTAATGGCTCGGAGATCGTCTGGACCGTTGGATTGCTCTACTTTTGAGTCCTGTTATGATAATGAAGTGAATAACTCTGAGGTTGGAAGAAATGGAGGCAAATGTGTGCCTGGGAAGTACAAAAGTTCGAGTCGATATGATAGAACGATTGGATCGAGCAATAAGCTTGTTGATATGCTGAAAGGGATGAATTTTCCCGCAGAAAGCATTGCTTTCTTGGCAGTACTAATGCTCAAAGTGGCTCGTTTTCTACTAAATCTCTTCCTGAGATTTTTCACTTTTCCTATTTTGATATTCAATTTTTGGCTAATGGTCTTGATGTTTCCATTTCAAACTCTTACATGGATTAGAGAGAATTTGAAGAAACGGCTGCTGAGATTATGCAATGCATTCTGCTCAATCTCAATTGGCTTCGTATTTAATCAGCTTAAAGCGCAAAAATCAGTGGGCCTAATTTCCCCTTAATATTAGTAATCATTACCAAAATGAAAATTTTAAATTGTTAATTATTGTATAAAACATAATTCGCACTTATCCATCTATCTTTTAGCTGTCATCATTATTATCTAGATTTAAATGATTGTACTATTATAATATAACCATTATATTCATAAATTATACTGTCTAATCTCACTTTGATGATATTTTAATTATAAAAATTATGGTTTCAGTTCTACTTTATATATAACAAGAAGATATTATTATATTATGCAACCGGTTTACTCTGTGTTGGAATTTGTCAGGCTACGAGAGTAACAAAGCAAGATTATAAGTAAGCCCCTAAACCAGTGTAAATATCTGTTTCAATGATTCGGTGTGACTCCTCGGATGAACTTAACTGTCGAAAGCACTCTCATACTTAAGTTTCAATGATTCAATGTGAATCGGGTTGAAAGCACTCCCAAACTTAAGTTTCAATGTTGCAAGGATTGTGTTAATTGTCACTTGAGCCCAGAAAGGAAGGAAACGAGGCCTGGTGTAAGTGACGAATGCTTCTTTGTGTATTGATGAACACCTTCTGGTCTTGGGATATGAAAACTGTAGAGAATCAAGTCAGCAAAACTGAATTCAAGGCCGAAAATTTATAGGGTATATAGAGGAGTTCGTCCCCCGCTTCCTTTGCTCCACTAGCCCAGAAGCATTTCGTCGATTACTACGCCCTTCCTCGGCTGAGGAGTGTCACATGAGACGAAAGGTTCGATTCTTTCCCTCTTGGCGGGAAGTGAAGTGGGCCATCATCTTCGTTGAATGCATCGATCGTGAGGAAGGAGCCACCCTGAGATGAGAGGGAAGGTCGATTTGACTCAAATCATCAGAACCAAAATCACAGCAAATCATAGCTGCAAATCAGGAGCCTAATCACAGCAGCAAATTTGATGAAACAGCAGCTGATTTGGTGAAATCACTGCAGCAGATCAGGAGCTTAATTATAGCAGCTGATTTGATGACAAATGAGGAAGATTTGATCCAGCTATTATGCTATGTTAAGATTGTAGCATAAATGTAGGGATTGGTTGTAGATTTCTCTATATATATATTGCTGTACAGATCACAATTCAATTCAACAAAATAGAGGAATTAATTCTTTTACAAAAACCAACACCATTTTTATACAATTCTTTCAAGCACGATCAGTCTACCTCAACCAAAAATGAGAGGCAAATTTCCCAAATTACTGGTGAAATCCATGAAGAGAAGAAATCACAACAAGTGCACTGATGAAAGCAATATTGATCAAGAGAACTCGTGGAAAAATGGAGATTTTCTTCGTAAGAGAATAGGTAGTTTTATCATTTTGAATGCTTGTGGCAGCAAAAAGGCTCAAAAAATGTCTTCATCAAGTAATCAACCAATGGAAACTAACAATGCAGATGATTCAAATTTGAAGAACGTTCCAGATTCGATGGCAAAACAACAAACTATATTTGATGAGATTCAAGACGCTAAAGAATCGGCAGGGCTAGAAGAAAAAGTACTTGATAAGAAACCTAAGAAAATGCCTACAAAAATCTCAAGGTTCATAAGAAAAAGAATCGGTTCCCTTTTTAGGAAATTGAAGCTTGATGAAAAAAGCAATGGTGGAGCCAGCGAGAAAAATAGTTCACAGAAAGTTGATGAAAGAAAGCGCATAATGAAGAAACTAATAATACGAGATGGAGAAGAAGAAGAAGAAAAAGAGGAAAGAAATGAAATGGAGTTATAATGGGAGAAAAGTGCAGACCATTGAATCTCTCTGGTGCCCTTCATTATGATACAGATGGAATTTTGATTCCTGAAGAAATCCTATGACAAATTTGACACGCTCGACTGAAAATCTTGTCCGTATTACTTTGTGTACATTCCATCATTCTCTTTTGAACATGTATTCATCAATCTTTATTCCACAGGAAAAAAAATGATTGCTAACAGATGTGTTTGCAAAAGTAGACAGATAAGTATAAAAGGAATTTCATCAGAGTTACAATTCTTGTATTAGCAGAATTCTATAAAGAACCTAAAATTATTATATTATAACATAATAAATTCTCTCTGTCCCAGACGTGTGTGTGACTTGACTTGGAGTTGTTATTTTAGAAATTGTCAATGGTAGGAGCAACACTAGTATTAAGCCAAAGGAGTACAACTTCTATCTTCTCGACTGGGTAACTTATTACAATAATTTTACGTCTATAATGCAGATTTAAGATCATATATGTTTAGGAATGGGAAAGAAAGATTTGAAGATGCTGTATTGCAATTGATTAGAGAGAGTTGAAGAAATGATACATTCTACAATGATTCTATTTGGTCCCCTCTAAAGTTAAAAAGTTCTACATAATTGTTATTAGACGAACTTTGCTTTGTGACATTGAGTATTGGAATATCAAACCACAGCAGAAATGAAGATGCTAGCATAGGATAGAATAAGAATTCGGAATATTTGGCCACAAGTGTAGCAACAGGAATTGAGAATCAATGACGGGAATGAAGAATTTGTTTTTTGAGACAAGTTGCATAGACCTAAAAAAGATTCGATTCACAACAATGTGCAATCACATAATAAATAAGTTAGAGAGAAAAAAAATCACTTCTTGATTTCATTGGGTAATTCAGTAAATTTAGTGATGCATCAAATGAAAAGGTGAAAAACATTTATGTGGCCATCCCCAAACCTTGTTGAGCATAAGGATTAGTGTTTTTGTTGTTGATAGTTTGCATAGAATATTGTTCAAAAAGTAGCAGATATATTATCTTGATTTTTAATCTAATCTATTTCTCTATTCAGATTTTCCAGTTCCATCAGAAAACAGCTTGTCCGTTGGCATTATAATTGGGATAGTGATTGCTGTTCTATTTATAGTCTTGCTGGTTCTGAGTATTTTTTGGTGGAAGGGCTGCTTCAGACCAAAAGATACTCTAGAACAAGGTAAATGCAATTATTCAACATTAGCGAACAATCATCATCTTAGTGTTCATGTGTGTATACGTATTACCAAAGGCAGTATGCAGTTCTTAGTGCACATGATATAATCTAGTGCAGTCTGATTAACTCAGTCAATACTCTTTTAACTTTGTGTCTGTTGACTAGAAATAGAGTGCAGTTTGTCTAAACTATTTGAATAATTCTTTTTGGTAGATCTAAAGGGTCTAGGCCAACACACTGGAATATTTACTCTAAGGCAAATTAGAGCTGCCACAAACAATTTTGATCCTGCCAATAAAATCGGAGAAGGTGGTTTTGGTCCTGTGTACAAGGTATCCTTGGGAAGATCTAATTTCAGTATAATATCTAAGTTTTTGTCACTATAAACCCAGTCACTCAGGTTGCTAGAACCTTTTGATGTTTCCATTTTGACGTCAAATGTTGTTTGAAGGGCCGTTTGTCAAATGGAACCATCATTGCCGTGAAGCAGCTTTCTTCCAAATCAAAGCAAGGGAACCGTGAATTCGTGAATGAAATAGGCATGATTTCTGCCCTACAACACCCTCATCTCGTAAAGCTATATGGATGCTGTATTGAAGGCAACCAGCTGTTGCTTATCTATGAGTACATGGAGAACAACAGCCTTGCACGTGCTTTATTCAGTAAGTTTCAAACATAGTCTTAATTAACTTTGTTGC